GAGAGAGAGAGAGAGAGAGAGAGAGAGAGAGAGAGAGAGAGAGAGAGAGAAATCCCGAAAAAAGTATCTCTTCTTGAAAACCGGGGTATTCCCTTAACCCTTTCGCACTCGTCGTTCTAAGACAATACGAATTGATCCAGACGCCAAACTAATCGATATTTCTCGCCACCAAATTGTCACATGTTGGCAATTTGGTCTCTCACGATTCTAGGCGGAATTTTAATCTCATTCAGTTATAGTAATAGAAACTGTCGGCATTCGTCTCTCCACTTCGACGCTGGCTGTTTCATAAATAATCGCAATTTGCTAATATTGAATTCACTTATTATAAAAGTGGACTGTACAAAATCTTTTCGTGCATTAGTACGACGTAAAAGTATAAAATTATTATTATGCAGAATATGGTTTGCACTGAAAATAATCCGGCATACCAGGGTTGTTTCTCTGAGACAAACCCTTTGATTCCTCCAAAATGGTTTATTGGAGAATTATGAAAAACATCAGATATTATCTTTATTTTACTAGGAACAATAACGAATAGAGAAAACATTTTTTTGCGAATAGTATTAACTGGGGGTTTAAAGGGTTAAGATGATCTTAAGCATAAGATCTGACGACAAATGGCAGGCTTAAAGGTCGCGGCTCGTAACGGGACTCGCAATATTCGCGTAGCTCGCAGCCGAAAATGACGATATACAGATCTAGTGAACGCCAGCTCTTACGTCTCGGGCAATTGCGGCGAACGTGCACATGTGTTTGCGCGTAGCTACGCATACTTACCGGAGGGATAAGCGACGCGAGGTAGAGAAGGGAAAGGTGCCAGTGGCCGCTTGGTTTGCTGGCTGGCGAATATCCCGGATATCTTTGACCGTCTCTCTTCTTCGTCCTCACCTTCCTTCTTCTCATCCTCGTCCTCCTCGTTCTCCTCCTCTTCGTCGGGCTCGCCGACTAACCTCGTCGCGGAGGGAAAGCCGGGCTCTCATTACGCCAACAAAATTCTCACATTTTCCGCTAAATGTTCCCTTCGTGTTAATGAACGACTTATCTTCATATTTGCTGTCACCACGTGCGCGAGCCCGGGAGCTCGTTTAGAGAAGTTGGGTTAGCCCGCTAACTGTAGCGGCCGCGGAATTAATTGAGACCTCTCCCCCAGCTCTATCTCGTTATACGAGTAAATTCTGAATTCTGGTAACTGCTCATCGGAGTCTGAAAACGAGCCGGGGCGAGTCGCGGGCGCGCGCGCGACGGCGGTCTCCACGGTTCAGTCCCGCGTAGCCATGAGAAATAATATCTGGGGGCATAATTGCTTTTTAAAAGCCCGCAGCCGTTCCGCGGATTTTGTCCCTCGTAATTGTTAATGACTTTTTTAATGGCGGAAAACGATGTTTTTTTTTTACGTTTTTCTTTCTTTTCTTCTCAAATCGGCTCGCGTCCGCAGCAATAAACGCTTAACTGAATCATACAGCGTTCATATCGCGTCTGCAATATGACTTCTCGATATCTCTCGCGATTCAATCGGTCGCGCCACATGGCGAGACCGGTCTTTATTATTTATAAACGACGGATCGAAGAGACGCCGCCGTTGCCTCGACGCTGAGTTCTTCGCGATACACATACACACACACACACACACACACACACAAACGGGAATTAGATCTCGGGAGACGGCGGATAGAAAAGAAGCGAAGTGACGGCTGGGTGGCGATGACAACGGGTGGAGGATGGAATGAGAGAGAACGCCCGCTGCTACAAATCCATGAGTCCTTTATTAAGAAATACTGCATCGTTCCGACAATCGCGAAATGGTAGTACGAATATAATCTTTAAGCTATTAGAGCTTCGACGCAGCCTCCTTCTCGAGTCGTCGACTTTGCTCGGAGCGTTTTCCAGGGCGGTGTTCCGGAGTTTTGACATTGGATTACGAGGTACGGCGCGCAAAAGTCCTCCGCATAAAACTTTAATTACATTTGAATATAGACGCGCGCGCGAGCCGCGAGACGTACACCGATACCGGGATATTCGGGAATGCGACGCGGTCGCGACAGGCTGCTGGAAACTTGAGCTTTTCGAGCCTTTCGCTTTTTACTCGCTCGGGTCGGGCATTGTTCGAGAATTTTCCTTCCCTCTCCGCGAAAACGGCTGAACGAATATTACGTAAATACAACGAATAATTACATTATATTCGAGGGAGAACTTATTCCCCCTCCTCGCTCCTTCTTTTGTTCTGCGATTTAATGAAAGTTTTTGCGCCGGCGAGCGGGACTGGAAGAAGCGTTCTCTCTTTTTTTTTTCCCCCGATTTGTTCGCGGCGTGCGCTCGCGAATGAATTCCGACGGATAAGAAATGAATTCCGATACGAATAAATTTCGATGGGGACGCGCGCACGCGCACAAAAATAAAAATTCATTCCTCGCTAACGCGCGCTCAGCCGCGTCGAATAAATTTGGCCGCAGAATGGAGCGGAGTTCGCTCTCGTTACTGACAAATAAATCTTGGAGCTTTATACGGCAGTTTTAATTCGTTATTCGAGATAAAATTCGCCCGACCCTCTGGCGCCTTGCCACGGGCTGGGAGTCGTCGCACCCCCGACCGGCTGTTCGCGGTCGCGAAACGTTCGGATCGCCGCCCCGCGCTGGGGCGAGACGCTACGTCGAACGGCGATTTACGCTCGAGAGCTCGTGAAACTTGCGAACGAAGACGGAAAGAATGGTTTCGACGCGATCTTTCTTTCCCCTCCCCCATGCCCTTTTTTTCTCTTTCCCTGTTTCTACCTTTCTTTTTCTTCCCTCCCTTTCTCTTCCTTCCTTCCTTCCTTCCTTCCTTCCTTGTAACGCGGACTGCGACCGCGCCGCAGGGACGCGTCGCGGAGTCTGCTCCCGCGCGAATAACTCGCGGCTCAAGGCTGTAAATATTCGGGCGAGTAGCGGAGAGAGAGAGAGAGAGAGAGAGAGAGAGAGAGAGAGAGAGAGAGAGAGAGAAGAGACCAGACCCGTATCGAGTTACTCTATTTCGCGATACGACGAATTAATTGGACACACAATACAACCCGAATTACTCGGATCCCCAATGATCCGCATGGCGTGTGCGTGGCGTGTTACATATATGCGCGTGTGTTCCGATTGTTCGGATAAACATAGCGGCCGACGCCACTCGAACGTTAGCCGTTGGGGCCAACGCTGCGGTGACGTCCACACGTTGGCAGTACTTGGAGCATCCGCATACTTGCGCGTCCACCCGCCGGGGCATTCGGACTTCCTCGCAGCCTCGCTTTTGTGAACGCCGGCGCGGGCACACGCGCGGTCGAATATACGCAAAACACACACCAAAGACGACGGAACGAGCGACGCGCCTGAACAATCTCGGTGGCGCGACAAGGAGAAGACGGAGACACGACAGAGACATAGACAAAGTAGATGACACACCGTGGGCGGC